TACCGAAGAAGCATTTTGCGGGGTAGAGAATTTAAGGCCGGATGCATGGAAGAGAATCCCGCTCTCCGTTCGTTCCCCTTTTCCTTTTAAGATCCTGATCTCTGAATTTTAGAAATGAAAAGCGCCAGCTCTTCCTGAATGCTTTATCATAGCGTTTCATGGAAAAGAAACTTCAGGTTATATTTCTGATTGCTGGGGAAAACCCCAATTTAAAATTTCTGAACTATTATAATATATTTCATTGGGTCTCCTTGTGATTTGACGGAAGATAATTGCATTTATCAATATAAAATACAGAAGGTTCGCTTTTGACTATGTCAAGACTAAGGAAAGAAAATTTTGCAAGTTCCCTGGTGGTCTAGTGGTTAGGATTCGGCGCTCTCACCGCCGCGGCCCGGGTTCGATTCCCGGTCAGGGAATATCTTTTCCTCCCGAATCAAATTGTTCATTAATGAGAAATCTCTTTTATTTTATTTTTAAAAAGCTATTTTCATAGTTGACATTTCTAAAAAAACTGCTGTACCAGTTGCCTCAATTTCAGCCAAACAAAGCAAAACAAAAACCATCACAAAGCAAAACAAAAACCATCACAAGACTCCTTGTCTTTCTAAAAATGGTAGCTTAGCTACCTTTTTAACCAGAACTATCCATGAGAAGACTGATCAAATGTTTTTTTTAACACGAATGAAGAACGATAATGTTTGAAAAGTCCTCAGATTTGTATTTAAAACTTTGTATTTACATTTTGAACCTCAGGAATAAGCATACATATTTTAAAATGAAGCAAATTAAAATTAAATATGAAATGAATGGATGTCTGTGTGCATACTAAGATGAAAACAGACGCAAATAAATGTTTTAGTAAGAAAATATTTTAAACATCATTAAAGAAGAACAAACTCAATAACACTATTTAATAGTGTTGTCTAAAGATGTTGAGACTTTGGAAAAAGGACAAAGAAGATTAAAGGTGATTAAAGGCCTGGAGACAAAAACATATGAAGAATGGCTGCAGGATTTGGGTTTGACTAGTCTAGAGAAAAAAAGGACTAGGGGGGACATGATAGCAGCATTCCAGTATTTGCATAAACCTGATCTTAAATTACCCCTAAGAGATGTTGAGATAAAAAAATTAAGCTGGCCAAGAATTTTCACTTTAACCCCTGTAATTTGCCCTAAAATATTGAAATATTTTGAAGCCCAGTTTTCATTTCTTTATTTAATTTCTTCCAAGTTGGTACAGAATTATGCGTGAAGATTTTATTAACATTTTATTGATTGATTTAATTTCTATAGCCACCTATCTCAACCAGTGAATCTTTACTTATAGTAATATTTTAAAGATTTATATGTTATTGGAACCCCTAAAACCGTGGAATTTTCCTCTTAAATTTTGGGGGGTGTATGAATTTTTTTTAAATTGTGATATTATTAAATTGTGATATTATGAAAATTAATTGATATTCCTACTAACACCCCTGCAAATTCCACTAACTTCTTAAAATAGCTGGCTGAATAAGAAGCATTTGTGAGAATCAAAATAATATGATCTGCAAAGAGATTTAAAAGATATGTCTTAACTTCCATTTTTATCCCATTAGTCTGCTTTTTGGAACTGTTGCCAAAACATTTATAGTTAAGGTGAATAGTAAAACAGATAATGGACACTTTTTAATACATCTTGAAATCATAATGGGATTGGAACAGTGG